AAGAAAGGACTTGTATCGGTAAAGTTTCTTCGGTAAGAATTTTTACGGAAAATTAACTAACGAACGGAAGCGTAACAGAAGGTTTCAACTATGCATTTAACTTATTCTGTTATCTAAACAACTTACAACTGCAGTTAATATCATGAATATTAACATAAAATTGACAAACGAGAAACATTTGGTGTACAATTTTCATAACAATTCCTTTGTATTGTTTGTTTGTAGTGAAGCGCAAAGCTGCACATTGGGCTGTCTGTACTCTGCCCACCATGGGTATCGAAATCCGGTTTTAAGCGTTATAACTCTGCAGACTTAGAATTCCTTTATATTGTTATTTTACTGGTTTCCAAAAAGTACTATAACATATACACTCTCAACAAAAGATAGAGATTAAAGACGAATTGTTTCACTCAAATCAATATGATAATATAGTTTTCATAAAACCTCAGGTATCATTAACAGTGAAACAGTTGAAAATAATACTTAATTATTTCTTATTTTTTTTACTTATTTTTTATGATTTTAATAAGCTCAGAGTTCTGTGTTTGTCATTAGTTATGATATACATTGTATCCGATGAAGACATTATAACTGATTAAAGGACAGCGGTTTCGAAGTCTCATAGTTAAAAATAAAACAAGTATGGATAGATAACACTTCTTCGTGTTAAATATCCTGGGGTTAAAAATGTTTTTATCTGTCGCTCATTTTTATTAAGCACATTGTGCGATTTGATTGCTTACAAAATTTAGTTGTAACTTCTAGTGTTCCATACCGAGCATTTAAATCTATACAATTTCTATTAGTCAGGATTATAAATTTTTAATAACAATAATATTAATAAATATAACAATTATGTTGAACTTTACAAAAATAAAAGTTATTTATTTTTTAATAAAAATTACAGTGCCTGACTAAGTTAATTTCAACCAATGAAATGTCAGTGTAATCATTATGTGTAAGGCCTAAACACTGATGGTATGTACAAGAGAAGGAGGGTTGACGTCCGTTATGTTTGTTGGTGAATTGTATTTCAAGTTCATGTCATCGAAATGAATGCAACTGAACTAACAACGGATGTTACAAGTGATAAAGATGGTACATTTTATTTTAAATCTGGTAAGTCAGCCCAAGTATTTGTGTTTTGTAACGATGTTCTTGCCTGCTTTCAGCGTGGAAACTTTAGTTGAACAATTTTAGTACAGGATTATGTTTAGTTTAACGTATGTCAATAGCTCTGTGAGTGTTAGACTGACATTGTGAATGAGTTAGGCTTAAAAACGCAAACTTAACTTGATGTACTCGAGTTCAGTCGAGATTCGAAAGTGTTTCGCTTAAGAAACTACTAATTAATAACTGGTTAAAAATAGAGCGGGAAGAATTGTAATGTATAGTGCTTGATCTTATTAATTATGTATTTTTCTCTTGTAGATTTAATGCAACATTTAGTTTTCTTTGTATAAATTGGAATTTTTGTTTAGGAAAGTAATACTGACATTACTGTAGAACTTTAGTTTTTAGAAACCAGTGTTTTGAAGTTTTGCTTAAAGTTAAACTAAAATTTAGCTTGATGCAATTAATTATTATTAATTCATTTTTGGTTACTTCAAACTATGTGCTAAGTCTAACATTAAAAGTTAATACAAAACTAACCAGGAAAGAATTTAAGAATATAACTAGTTAGATCTAGAGGTTACTGGATCTGTAATTTGTAAACTTTCAGAAAGGCTTTTATCATGATGATTTGGTGTGTTACTACTGTTAGTCTAATTTGAATTCAAATTTCTATTCCGAGTACATGTCTGTTAATGCCTGCTCTACACCATATACTTGTTCAGTAGTTCAGAGTTAAAGGGGTACATTTAGTTTGCTGTTAGTGTTTTGCTTCATTGTTTCAATAAATAAGACGTAACTTACTGTTACCTTTCTCATTCACATGTTATTAAGGTAACTTAATGAATGTTTCAAGATTCTAATCTATATAAATACTTTTGTTTAAAAAGTATAATCCAGGTTATATTCTGTGTTGATCAGAAATTTCATGAGGAGAAATATTGGGAAAATGACCTTAATAATAGGCTTAAATGGTAATATGTTTGCAATGTGGTATCACAATAATACTGATAATAATTTAAGCCATATCATTCGTTAATGACTTGATATGGATACTTTGTTACAATTCATTGTCCTTGGGGCATTTTGCTTAATACGAGAGTTCTTTAGACCATTTGGGTTATAATATAGAAGGTGGTGGTATTATGCCATTGGTATAATTCATTTATAAGACAAAAAGTTTTATGGTGTAGAATATTTAAGTTAGTGAAGCATAATATGTATTAACAGAAGTGTGCAATATTATGACAAATATAGTTGAAATGCTAATGAAACACTTCTTATTGGAAACTATATTGTGACAGTAAAGAATGATGTGATTTAAATTATCAATATTATTGTGATGTTATATCATATGCACACATTACAACTCTCGTATTCCATCAGCTAAGGTGTCCTAAAAAACTTAAATAACTCTGGGTAACTTATTACTAATTTAATTAAGTTTACTGAGAAGAAATGAATGACTTCTATAACCTTGTGTTCTAAACAAAAATATTTTTCTAAGTGGATGAATAGAGAAGCTAATTGTTAATAAGTTACAAATATTAAACTTTCAAGAGTATACTCTGCTTTCTTATTACTGGAAATGGATGTTGCTGAGATAAATGTGATTAAAAGAGCCATTGAAAGGCAAAGGTTAAGCATTAAAGGACGGTCAAAATAAGATTTTTTATTCTTATGAGAACTTAAAAGAGTGTTAAGTATATATTATGTTTGAGGCATTTAGAAAAGCAGCTTGAAAGCTAGTTTTTAATTAAAAATGTTTCAATATATTTCAAAAAAGTATTATTATTTTACTAACTTCATTTGTGTCTTTTTGGATAATGAACTGTTTTAAAAAGCTTTTTATAATGTACCATGCACAAAGGTTAAACTGATAGGTTCTTATGGAAAACATTCTAAAGCAACATCTTTGTTTAAACAAAACTCAGTAAGGACAATTACATGTAACGTGTTAACTGCAATTGAAGTTTATACTTGTAGAGTTTAAAAGAAGTAAGCATGTTTTCGTCTACATATCTATCAGAATATCCCATTAGTTTTGTTAGAAATGAATTACAACTCTATAACCCTAGAGCTTTTGAAAGGTGGACCTTTCAAAAGTGCTTGGGTTATAAGGTTTTTATTCATTTCTGTCAAGACTTCTTGAACCTACATGTTTTTCTAACATCATGAATGTCCCATTAGTTTTTGAGTTTTGTGTCTTTTAAGGTCCAAGTTCTGATCTTTCTCTTGCTTCTATTAAACTAAGTTTAAGCAGCCTGTAACAGACATGTAATGCTGCCTGAACTGTTCCACAGATCTAACAGTTTACGCTGCCCAAAATGTATTGTTCACGATTAACAACGTGACATACTGGTCTTTCTAGGCTGTTCTGCAAAAGCTAGTTGAAGATTTACATCTTAAAAGTTCCAAAATGCAGTAGCTCTTTGTACAAGGTTAATAACTTTTGTTCTTCTATTAACAAAGTATATGAGACACATACTACAAAAATATCATGGTTTTTAGTTCCTGTTACCAATTTACTGACTATATAAACCTTCTTGAATTTTATTGCTTAGTTAGAAAATTCTCTTTGTTTTTCTTTTTTGTACAAATGTACAAATCTTTCATAATACTTGAAAATAAATCTTACAAATATAAGCTTCACAAGTCTTTCTGCATGCATCTCTACATTGATCAACAGCCAGAGACTCAGATTTATTTAATACAGTTACTATATCTGTGGCTAACCAATATTTACTTTATCACATGGACATGTAGCTATAAACCTTTTCCCATTGTATGCCACATTAAACCCTATATTTTCCTTCTCTTCCCTCATAAGTACACTTCAAATATAGATATTGTTTCCATCTTAATTCTGTAATATTGGTGCTTAACCTGCTTCATTCATGCTCAACTTATTAAGCATATCTCTATGAAACAGTCTCAAACTTTTCCTTTTAACAAATATGTTGTACATGTAAACTCCACAGTTCTCTATGAGCCTTTTGAAAATATTTATTACACTATAAATTCTACATCAGTACCTCATCATTACTTCTAACAACTAGTGTCGCCAAACTAAGCATGGAAAAGAAAAAACATTATGGTTAATTTTGAAAGTTTAAAACAATAGTAAAGCTAAGCTTAAATTAATAGAAAAACAAACATGCAAAATTACAAGTTAAAAGCTAAGCTTGAGCCAATGCAAGATGAAGTACATGTACAAGGATCAGATTCATTGAGAGGGACAATGAATTAGGAAAAACAAAAGTGGTAAAATTTTGTTTCTATATTGGAACTTCAAGCTTGATATTATTGGAACTTATGAAGAAAGTATTTAATTTTATATGTCTGGATGTAATGTCGTTATAACTGAAGCTTTTGTAATGATGCACTTGCCTTTTTTTCTTTCCTGTACTGTTAAACCTTTTGTTTGATTAGTACATTATAGTCACTCATACTTTTTCCTTGTATTTATATTGAAGCATAGGTGGAAGTTGGTGTGCATAGCAGTTATAATGGAACATTATAAGTTTAGGTGGGGTATTTGAGATAGGCATAGCAGAATTTGCTTGAACTATACAGTTTTATTCATTTTTGCTTGATATAATTCTTGTACATCCTACTGGACCATGGCTCTGGAAGTACTTGGCATATTATTCAAAGCTTAATGTACTCATCTAAGAATGAAGTTATTTTGAGCACAACTTCTTAAAAGAAGTTACTTTGTAAGGATGTTGTGTCACCCTTCTGCAGTTTGCATTAAACATTATATTTAGGTAAATGTTACCTTAAGACTAGTAAGTGACATGCAAATATCATAGGCAGATGCATGATTGATCGAGCTATTCTGTGTTTCGAGGTGTGTATCTATTGAAAATATATATTTAGGTAAGGAAAATGTTAACTTTCACCACTTTCTGTTTAAATACACCTCTTCAAAGTTCGGAGCACAGAAAATGATGACAAAATATATCACCCATCTGCTTATTATATCAGGAGTTTTGAAAAAGAGTGATCTGAAATGCATTATAATCCCCTCCCTAATTAAACAAAGACTATGGGCAAAGCATAAAATGTTTCAAAATTGGTAATACATTGCAGTTGTAGATGGTTTGAGACCTTCTTGATATTAAAACTTTTAGTCATTGTTGCATATCCAGATTTATTTAGAACAGACACAATTTTTCATTATAGGTTTTATTGAAGTTTGAGATATTAATTACCTTAATCATTATCCTCCCTCACATAAATAATATTCTTTAAATCTAAATATCAACCAGTTAAAATGTACAATATTTATTGCCCAAGACCAAAAAGTTTTTATTTTTTTGCTTCAGCAATAACTTTATATTTTAATTGATGCCACATAACATAGTTGCAGAAAATTTATTCTTTGATCACCAACATTTATTCACATTTAATGTTTCAGGCATAATTATGTACATTTTCATTATAAAAATGCTTAACAATTTTTTATAAGAATTATATTCACTAAAACTCAGTGAAGTTTAACAGATAATAATAAATTAATAAGAGAACTTTTTCAATTGTGGAGGTATAGATGTTAATTTTTTACTTTTTCACACAAGGAAAAATATCAGAATTGTTTATAAAATAATTATAGATAACATGCCCTCTTGAGAGGCATCAAATTTCTGCTTATAGATAACATTGTCACTTCTATTGATTATTGCAATTCAAGTGTCTACTTCAGTAGATAAGTATATATTATGTTACTTTGTGTTATGAAGTACTTGAGACTGGAAGCAAATGTAAGCAGTATCCACTGAGATAATAATCTGAAAAAATAAATACAATGAATTATTAAAAAAATGTTTTTCTTACAAACACATACAGATGCTTGCTTAATACATATCTGATTAAAATCATAGAAAGGATTTATTATGTTTCTAAAAAACTATAATACTGAGCAGTTTTGTTTGAAGTTTGTTTGGCATGATGTGTTAGGTCAGCTTTACTCAAAAAAAACTAGTGACACAAGAAAGTATGTG